TTGTGAATTATGTGATAGTTTACATGGGAGAACATTAGCTTTACATTCATCCTATCGTATATCATTTCATTGCTATGGTTGCAATCCCCTCCAACCAACCAAAGGGTATACTCTGCAAGCCTTACCCCCCACCCCCACCCCGGGTTGTCAGCCCTCTCCCTCTCTAGGTCTAAAGTCCCCAGCCGCTCCATCTCTCCACGTCATCGTCTCTGCCTCCATCTCTGGCATCAGTGTTTCTCTGGTTAGGGTCCTGCACTCCGTTCTCTCTTGATGGTCCCAGGGACCTCTGCTCCTAGACTGCAAAGTTAATCACTCCCCTCCTTTTGCTACGAAACGTCTACCTTTACATTTCCAACCCTCACAGTCAGTCCTGATAGCAATTATTCACTTTTGTATCACAAGAGACCTATCCACATTTCCTTTCATCAGCTCCGCCTAGACAGATTGGATATTACTTAGTGGAGATTCTACCTTCCTCAACGTCCTCTGGATCTAGATTCCTTCTTGAAAGCTTGTAAGCCAGTCACATCTTGCCTTTGAAGCACCCCTATTTTGGGTAGCCAGTGTCCAAGTTGCTCATCCCTGTCTACTCTGTATGAAGAGGGTGGGAATGATCCTCACTGTAAAGATTGTTCCCTATTTTGAGCTACTGAATCCATAGGTGTAGGTCAAGTTCATCAAATTGTATCAGATTACTCTTTTTTCCCCTTCATCTTTCTTCTTCTAGTTGAGCTCTGATCATCCAGTCATTGAAGTCAGCTCAAGTGGGTATTATCTGCAGGTGTGAGTGTTCTTATGCATATGCCCTCTCTTCTTATCAGCTGCATGCTTCACTCGCCATCCTAGTCCTCTGTGGCTATGTCGCTGATTCTGGGCCCAAGAGTTTCCAGGTCTTGCCACACTGCTGGCCAACCAGGTCTCCACTCAGGTTCACAGGAGTCTATTGAATGTTGTAGTTCGCAGCTTCACTGCTGTTTTTGCCTCACTTCCCCTTATCAGTGACAAACGTGGTCACCAATCACAGTGTGTATTCCCATTGATTCTTAGTCTTGGGAAGGTGGTTTGCTCTGAGGGGACCCGACCACTTGCCTTGATGTCTCTTGGGCAAGCAACTTGCTTGTTCTTACAGTAATCAGTTGGTCTGCCACTATTGTTTTTATTTCTCCTGTTGGTCTTTCTTTCAAGAAGTATCTTCTGTTCTAGCCATTCCAGGCTGATCTGCTTGTCCTTTCAAGTGGAAATTTCCCACCTCTTAAGATTCTGGATGCTGTTCAGGATTCCGCCTATAATCTTTTGTAATGCAGAGGCTCCGCAGGAGACCACCTTCACTGGGCATGTTGTAGCCCCATTTTAGATATTCCAATCAGTTATAGGCAGAAGACGGACTTAAAAACTTTCTATGGTGATATTTCTGGCTATTGCTTTCTCTCCCCCTCAAGTGTCTATTTTATAATGGTATGCCAGGGAAACCAAGATTCAAAAGACAGCCAAGCATCTTAACATTATTTCCTCCCTTTCCCCCATTCCAACCATGTCTCAATCCCTCTGTCCCAGAGTCCTGTTTTTCAAAGGTTGTGCATACATCATTATTTACCTCTATCCCACTTAGCCCATGCAAACCTGCCTAATTGTTTGTTCTCCCATCTGCTTTGTTCTTCCATTCCCCTCCACCTTCTTGTATATTGTCCCCCTCCCCAGCACCCAAACTATCCTATGTCTATTCCCTACCCTGTGCTCCACCTTCCCCTCCCTCCCCGTACCCCACCCCCCACATCCCAGTAGTCAGCAAAAAATCCCCCACCCCCCTTTAGTATGGGTTCTTTTTCTTAGACTTTTACAGTAGTGGTCTAATTTCACTCAACATAATGTCCTCAAGGTTTATCCATGTGATGCGGTGGCTTGCAGCTTCCTTGTTATTCTTCAAGGTAGCATAATATTCCATTGTGTGTCTGTACCACAGTTTGTTTATCCATTCTTAGTTCATGGACACTTTGGTTGTCTCCACCTTTTTGCGGTTGTAAATAGTGCTGCTATGAACATTGGTGTGCATATATCTACTCGTGTTATGGCTCGTATTTCTTGTGGGTAAATACCAAGTTAGAGGAATTGCTGGATCATAAGATATTTCTATTTCCAACCTTCTGAGGAAGCGCGATAATGCTTTCCAGAGAGGGTGCAGTCCCACCAGCAATGCAGGAGTGTCCCAGGCTCTTCACATCCCTGCCAGTCCTAATGTGGCGCTATGGGTTAATGCTCCAGACTGCAAAGCTGTTTGAACTGCAAGGTCAGCAGTTCAAGCTCACCATTCGCTCCTTGGAAACCCTATACAGGGTCGCTTTGGGTCGGGACTGACTCGACATCATGTCACAACAACAACTTTTTTGATCTTTGCCACTGTTGCTGATGTGAGATAATATCTCATAGTTGTTTTGATTTACATCTCTCCAGTGGCTAGTGATCATGAACGTTTCTTCATCTGTTTGTTGGCTGCCTGGATCTCCTCATTGGTGAAGTGTCTGTTCATGTCCTGTGCCCATTTTTTAATTGGGTTATTTGTCTTTTTCTTGTAGAGTTGTAGTTTCCTATATATTTTAGAAATAAGTCCCTTGTCTGATGTGTCATTGCAAAAGACTTTTTCACATTTTGTGGGTTCCCTTCTTACTCTTCTGGTGAAGTCTTTTGATGCATGTAAGTTCTTAATTTTTAGTATGTCCCTCTCATCTATTTTGTCTACTTTTGTTTGTGTAGTTTTCAAAATGTTTGGTAGTCTGTGTATTCCCTGAATTAGTGCCCTCACATTTGTCCCTATTTTTTTATTGATGGCCTTCATAATTCTGGGATTCCCATTTAGTCTTTAATCCATGTTGAGTTGGTTTTTGTATAAGGCGTGAGATGAAGGTCTTGCTTCAGTCTTTTGCTTATCTCTTTCCAGTTCTGTCAGCATCAGCTGTTAAAGAGACTGTCACCTCCCCCATGCGATATATTTAGGTGTTTTGTCAAAAATCAGTTGGCTGTATGTAGATGGGTTAATTTCTGGATTCTCAATTCTCTTCCTTTGATCAGTGAATCTTTCATTGTATCAGTACCAAGCTGTTTTGACCACTGTAGCCATGTGGTAAATTTTGAAGTTGGGGAGTGAGAGGTTTCCAACCTTATTCTTCTTAAGCAGTGCTTTGCTTATCCTGGGTCTCTTTCCTTTCCAGATAAAGTTTGTAATTGGTTTTTCCATCTCATTGAAGAATGTCATTGGAATCTGGATTGGGATTTCATTATATGTGTAAATTGCTTTGGGCATTATTGCCATTTTCACAATGTTAAGTCTTCCTATCCAGGAACATGGTACATTCTTCCATTTTTGTATGTCTCTTTTGGTCAATATAATGTATTTTTAAGAACTAAAAGTGGATTTCGTTTTCCAAAAACTTTTTTTTAGAATAGTATCTTTGTCCCAAAAAGAAAAAAAATCTTTCTTATTTCATGTTTGATATATTTGCTAACTAGCAGAAAAGCAAATAAAAAATCTGTTATCTGTCCTCTAACTTTATTTTTATATGTCATTTCATTATAGCATAGGATTCCTGATGACCCAGATGGACTTGTTAACCTTGATTGGGTGTTATAAAAGAACAATTTAGCCCTTTATATTCTCTTCTCCATGAATAATCATACCACCTACCGTCTCAGGAAAATCCACTTTATTCAGTTCCCTGGGAAAGCATTAGAATTTTGAATTGCAATCTTGATGAATCTCAATATGGATTTTTCGTATTAATTACAGTCTGTTGTTTTTAAGTATCCTTGAGTTAGTTCCTGCTCATAGTGGATCCTGTGTACCGTTTCCAAGGCTTGCATCTTTGTGTGAACAGAAAGTCTCTTCTTTATTCATAAGAGTATTGGTGGGCTGTAATCGAAGCTAAGTATTACTTTTGATGTTAGTTAGGTAGGTCTATTCTTTTAACATATTATATTTGTTTTACAGGTCAGTTTGCTGAGAATGAAACCAATGAGGTCAATTTTAGAGAGATCCCGTCACATGTGCTATCAAAAGTATGCATGTATTTTACCTACAAGGTTCGCTACACTAACAGCTCCACTGAGATTCCCGAATTCCCAATTGCACCTGAAATTGCACTGGAACTGCTGATGGCTGCGAACTTCTTAGATTGTTAAATAAAATAAATTATAATAAACTGTTAACCTTTTTCAGTATTTAATAACTGTAGTTCAGTTAGTAATTTTTTTCATATAGCATGTTGCCTGTATGCATTTGAACTATAAAGTTCATTGCAAAGCAGATTATCTTCTGTTCATTTTGCATAGCAATCAGAGTTGAAATTTGTTTGCTCCGTCTACAAATTAAGGACATTTTCACAAACTGAGAAATAAACAGATATGCCAATTTGTAGGTGGTTTTGCCTTATCCTTTGGATGTGACTTTCAAAATTAGAAAAATGATGGTATAGTAAGTGCTGAAATTTAGGTGTAAATGAGCAAGTTCTACAGGTAAAATGGGGCTGAGTATTTCTGGTTTTGATGTTTTTTGTTGCTTTTTTAAAAATCTGATCTTTTAACAGTCATTAGCATTACTTGTTGTTGTTGGTAAGTGCTGTCAAGTCTGCTCTGACTCATAGCGGCCCTGTCTGTGTAGGGTTTCCAAGGAGCGGCAATAACTGCATTAAAAATATGTTTATAAATTAGCCAAAATATTGAATTTTATAATTCCCAAAGACATAAGGTTTGAAATTTCTTATGTGTCTTTTGATAAACGGCAGTATTGTTTAAGTGTACCATGTCTTTTTGTTGATTGCTACCATTTAAGAACTTTATTTTAAAAGCAATTTTGGAAGGTTACTAGGTACGGTATTTGGAGCAATAGCTTTTTAAGATCTGTAGCCAAGTGGTAAATAAGTACACTGCATTGCTTTGATTTCTTGTAAATTGTGCATTTTGGCCAATCCAAAGTACTGTACTTTCATTAACTATAAAACTTCCTTTATAATTCTTATAAAATCCCTTGTGATTATAACACTTGTAGTTATTTAAATATTTTAAAGGCACACATGAACTTTTTATCTTAAAAGTTAGACATTTCTGAACTCTTGGTCTTCCTTCCAATTGAAATGTTAAAATATGAAAAATGTGGAGAAGTACAGTGAAAATTGTATTATAATGCTCCTTGATGTAGTACCTTGATGAATCATCTACTATTAAAGAAAATATATCCTGATAAATATGATACCCATAATCTGTTGAGTCTCCTACTGAAATCACGGTCATGAGGAGGTTATTCAACTTTTATATTAAGACAAAAAATAGAATGATACGGCATAACACCTGGGATTAGGCAAGGGAAGACAAACACTGGGATCGGGTGTTATAATGTCACTGTCTTAATAAAACAAAGATGTCATTATAGGTCCAGAAATTAACATCCTTAACATAGGTCTTCCAAGACTGGCTTATTAAGCACCAATTTTCCTAGAAGCTGCAAAAAAAAAAAACAAACCACAACAACCTAGGTCTATAAAGGTAATTTCATGCTCTAATAAAACCTAAACATTGTGCTTTCCATCCTATTGAAAGTTGTTAGTTATAAATGTTAATTGCATATATTTTAGTAACTTTGTAAGACAAACTAGCACATATTTTAGTACAGAAGTTTATTCTGCTACTGGCAAATATTCTGCTACTGGCAAATAGTGTCAATTACAAACTTAATGATAATTTCAAGGGTCAGGGTGATAGAAATAAAATTTAACTTTTGATTGCTTTTTGTGGGTTACTATGTGTTAGATCTAGAAGTAGCTTTAAGCTTAAGACTTTAAATAGAACTGAAATGAGAATTAGGAAAACCTGTATTATCTTATGGTAAATGGTGTGTGTTAACAAAAACTGTTGACTAAAAGAGATGATGAATACTTGATATTTGATCCTTTTAGCCTTAGTTTTCTTTTTCTGAAGATTCATGAAAACTGTTTGCTTCAGTACCTCTCACCATATGATTGAATAGAGGAAATTTTTATTTGGTTCATTTAAGAGAAAATTGATACAAATGTTGAAACAACTGTTTTCTCATACTAATAGTTAACTTTTCAAATTATGTTCAAATTCCTCCAATACTTTTTTCTGCTCAGAAATCATTACTCTACAATCCCGTGTTTTATGCAGTTACTGTTTCGTTTTTTTGTCCTCTCTAGCTTATTTGATGCTTTTTAGATTGCTTATTTTCCATGCAGTTATTATTGACTGTAACAGACTCCCTACTTTTGAACAGTCCTATTAATACTGAGAACTATAGTTTATATACAAGCAGTACATTCAGCTTATACTTATAGATAAGTATACAGCTCATACTTAAAGACCTTGCTATGCATGGAGCTGTCATCTTAATGTGAACCATGTTAAAAACTCATGAGTATTCTTTCAAACTTGTACACGTATTTTGAGAAATAATATAATATTGCTGTCAAAGATGGAAGAGTGTTATCTCTAGTAGTTCATATCTATATCTATATAGAGGAAATTTCATACAAATTAACAAAGCTTGAATGTATCCAGACTTAGCATTGCTAAGTTGAGCCTCTAATTTTTCACGTCTAAGTTTGATGAAACACTTAAGGTCTAGTAAGCAATAGATATTATTGATTTTATATATATATATATATGGTGTTTTATTTGTAATATGTAAGTCTGGCAATTCTAGACCACACATATTTAATCTTTGATTTTATATCCCTGCTAGGCTAAACACTTAAATATTGTTCCTAATAGTTGGCTTAAACAAATATTTATGAGCTTAGAAATATTTTGGTATTGGTTTATCAGATAGAGAACCAAACTGGTAGTTAGAAAGCCTGGAATTATGTGCTAATTAATTAGCCTTGTGACCTTGAACAAGTAGGTGAGCGTCAATTTCACATCTTTAAAATGTGGAGATGAGCATCTTTAGGATTATGTTTACCACCCTTATTTTTTTTAATGAACTCAGTTGTGTTTGTGGATGTTGTTCAAGATTTAACATTACAGATGATCGGATTTGGATTGTGAACTGGAGAGAAATGGTTTTTAGTAGTCTATGAATGTAGTTTTTGATGCTTTTAAATTAGGCATTGCATATTCCACATCAGCACTAAATAAATTAGATGAAATTAGAATCCTTGGAATTGTTTTCTGTTGCCTGCTAAATAAAGAAAATCCATTTTACTTCTGGTTACCAGTAACTGATATATGGTATCACACCAGTATATACAGTGCCAACTCAAGAAACTCATCTTCATTCTTGATATAGTAATGTATCATCAGCTAGGTAGATTTTTCAGTCCTTTATCTGTATTTTCTTTAGCTGGTAACAGGAGACTTTTTAATGCCCTTTGGAATATTCAGTTTATTTCCTCCATGTTTCTGAGTATTTAAACTGGGGAATTTTTTATTTGCTTCATGGTACACCTTGACTTAATCATCAAATTGTTCTGTAATATGTTACTATTTCATATAGGAGCAAGTGAATCATAGATACAGAATTTTTCCCCTCTCTGTAATGCTAGAGGCTTACAATCCTTTTCAATAGAAAAAAGATTGGACTACACTTGACCTGGATGCATTTTATTAAGACCTTATCCTACAGTGCTGCCACACCAGGGCTCCTGTTTATGATATAGACTTGCTTTATTTAGAGAAGCATGTATTAAATGACAAATCAGATAAAAATTAAAAGTTCTTGACTTTACGCCAGCAGAATGATCTAAAATGTTTTAGAGCCTCTTTTTACAGTATGAAATAAAGTCTCCAGTTAAACCTTCACATACCACCTGACCCAGATCCACTGTTTTGTTTTTAATACATCATAGTATTTTAACTTTGTAAGTGCTGTCGAGTCTGTTCCCACTCATCAACCCTTTTTTTGTATGTTTTCCAAGAAGTAGCTGGTGAATTTGAACTGCCACCCTTGTGGTTCAAACCGACTTTGATGTCCAGTGCTTATCTTATGGTGCCAGGTCTCTGTAGGCATATTAAGTTTTGATGCAGATTTTCAAATTATTTTATTATTGAGTCATTTCTATTTCAGAGAACAGCAATCTATCAGTCTCAAGTGTAATTTTGAATTGGAAAGTACTTTCTTCAGAACGTACAATTTTTGTCTTTCCGTATTTTTAACTGTTTTTGAAAATCAAAAGTTTCTTTCTTACACTTGCCATTTGAAATCAACCAGTTTGTTTGTTTGTTTGTTTTAAATGAGGATCTAATATAAAATATAATTTGGTGTCACAGTTTATTTGCAGTGAGATTCTACATTCAAATTATAGTTCCAATTAATTAGAACAAACATGCTTAAATTCTAAAGACTGCAAATGAATTCTTGACCTGGAAAAGGAAGTTTTATGTGTTAAAGTGTTGAAATAAAAACATGCAGAATATTTAAGTAAAATTAAGATAGGAAGTTAATGCATAAGGTGTGCCTATAAAATAAATACTTTGAAATATATACAATATTTAAATGAATATCAGGAGTCCTGGTGTGCTGTGGGATAATGCACTGGACTGCAAGGTCGGTGGTTCAAATTCACCAGCCACTCCTTGGAAACCCTGTGAATTGGAACTGGTGCAATATCCTCTCATTGGCAAGGCTGTTGCTCAAAACGGTCCTGGAGCTGCCTTTAGAGCTTGTAGTAAATCTTTTTAATAGCCTTTATGGTAGGAGGTATTTTTCCTTAAATAATGCAACAGTGAAATGTTTGAGAGCTAAACCTACTAAATAAAGAAAGGTGAGTAGCCATGTTGGTCAGGAAAAAGGTCACGGAACTGTTTCAAGCCTCAAACTTAACCCTTGGAAGTAAAGGTAATTACGTTAATTTTCAGTGTGACTTCACCTATTTTTCTAGTGTATTTGTTGAAAACAATTTCATAGGGTAAATCTTAGTCCATTTATTTTGTTAAAGCAGTCAACAAACATTTGTTGTTTTTTAAGGATATAAACTGCATCAAAGTTGTTATATAAAAGTTGCCTTATAATACAAACATCTCTTACTTGGCTTAGATAGAGTTGAAGCATTATGTTCCTGGCATGTTGACTTCCTGCTTCATCGTATTTAACGACAATTTTCCTGTTCTTTTGGACAAGAGTATTTATTTACGTATTAAGTAGATACCATCCAACCTTAAATATTGAAGATGCTCTTCCCTGACGTTTGGATACAGTAAATGTGGATTTGTGATAGGAAATCCATGAAAAGTTAAAAGCTTATTAAATGACAATTTGGGTTCTGTGATCTGGTCTTAAGCTCTCTTCATTGCAGTAGCAATTTTTGCTCATGTATATCTTTAAAAACTATATCTTGTGAAACATCTGGAATTAGTTTTTCTGTAATTTGGGGTCAGGGGAAGAGGAACATTTATCTACTCCA